AATATATGAATATGTATATATGTATATATAAATATATGAATATATACATACTTATTAATAAAAAACTTAATATATTCATACCCAAAACCTAATCACAAACAAATATAATATTATAATATCAACAATGACATGAAAGAGAAAAAAAAGAAATCAGAATAAACAAACTATTGAAAGAAAATAAGCCTGGCCTCATAAAATGTACTCCATTAGAATAGTTCCTTCTACCACCTCGCCCCTTCAGGAATTGACCCTTCCTTTCCCACCCCCATCGCGTATGAGATCAAAATATCCTTCTTCCCGATGTGTTTCAAGGGATACGGAGGGTTCAGTAAATACAGAAGAGCGTAAGCCTACACAAATTATAAAAAGAAATGAGTTGATAAAGACCATACTTCAAAATCTCCGTGCGTGTATAATTATAGATGTCTCGCGGACTCCTTGGAAAATTACGAACTGACTCTGGTGTATTGTTGACAAAATCGAGCGCGACCTGAGTTTCATACATGTGTATGACGTTAAAGATAAATTCACTCAACGTTTCATTTAACACTTTTTTATGTCAGATTCAGTCAGACGGATTAGAGTACTATTCCTGCTACAAAAATATCACATTCTTGTCCCATGAAAAGTGGAAAAGTGAAGAAGAAAAATAAAGAAGAAATAGATCAAGGAAATAAAAAGACAGTAATTTTTTACTCACGTGAGTATCCCTGAAGACGGCCTCCTGATCCTCGTGCTGTTGGAACACCCTGTCGAACAGGAATGACCTTTGACCTCCGCGCTGGGTGTTCAGGCTCACCGAGAACTCGTCCTCCGCGGTCACCACTACCGACGCATCGCCCGCACCGCCACCGCCGCTACTCCCGCTGCTGCCGCGCCGCCGCTCGGACTCGGTAATCGGCCGCACGCGACAGAACACGCGGATCTTGCCCTTCATTTCCTCCACCTGTAGGGGGGGGGGGGGAGAGAACGATTACGTTTTTTTCCTTATACTTTTTTTCTCGTTAAGGATTATGTGGATTATTTACAGACATACAGTAAATATATATACATATATAATGACCGTCGGAATACTTTGATGGAAAAAATACAAATCTCTAATTTGAAAAATATCACAATGATTCTTAGTTATACTCTAAGTTACTATACAGACGAACCTCTTTCTCATGGGCAGTATGCATACACTCAGAGCACGTAACCCAACCACAAACTACTCAGTTACGAAAGGCAAACGAACCCATTTGTCCTTGAGTGACACACTACACAAAGAGAATTACCTATCCATTAATCCACTGCAGACTTGATCATTACCAGTCAACAGCTTCCACTGTGACAATCATTCTCACCTGGTTGTAGTACTTCTTTCTGAGAACCCTTTCTCTGTTGAAGTCTTCAGAAAGCACCCGGTGTTCTTCCAAAATGCGGGAATACTGCTCGTTCAGGGTTTTCTTCTGCGCCAGTATTTCTTCGTAGTCCTGAAGGAGATAATGTAAATATAAAAGGGGTCTCATTTTCTATGGTACAATATCATCAAATGTTATTATTTTCCTTGTTACATATGCCTGCTTTAGGTGGCATATCTAACCTATCTGTAGTAAGTCAAATATTAAAGTTTATTTGAATTGTTTCTCATTCGTAAATTTCTTCTTTTCTCGACACATTTTAAGAATTCCTACATTATATTTCGCGTCTTTCTTACTAATGCATCTTACAAGTAAAAGAGCGAGTCACGTACCTGTAGCTTCAACATCATATCATTGAGGTTCTCCTTAAGCCTCTTGTTCTCCTCGTTGAGCGTATCGAGGTCCAACTTGAGCATGTTACATTCCTCCTCCTTGCCTGCCATGTACCGTTCGGCCGCCTCGAGTTTCTGCGCCACCATCTCCATCCTGTTCTCCATCTCCCTTATGTCTCGGTCGTGTGTCTTCGTGCTTTCGTTCTGGTGGTTTCTGAGTTCGGTCTCCAGGTCGTGGATGCGCTTCTTGTAGTCTTCCTCTTTGGCATCGAACTCGGTACACAGCTGACGGAGCTTTTGGGTGTCTCCTGAGACCTTGTAAGTCGCTTTTCGGAGGACTTTGACTACGTCGGGATCGTCCGCTGAGGTCTTGGACTTGGCGTTCCCATTTTCTTTCAGATTCCCGTTTTCTCTGAGGCTTCCGTTTTCTTTGAGGCTCTGTGGGGGGTCTTTATTAACTTGGAACGTTGCTGCCGGGTCGTGGATCTTGCTGGCTACGTCCGAGAGCTGGGACTTGAGGGTGAAGTTGTGGAGCGTGAGTTCGTCGCGTTGTTTCTCCAGCTGAATCTAGAGTTAAAAAAGGCAAATGTTTAGGATCATATGGAAGTGCTATTTCTTCTTCTTGTATATGTTTTTTTGCCTTTCGTTTTTCTCTTCACTCCCTCCATCTTTTCCCTGTCCGCCCCTGCACGTCCCATCTATCCTCCTGCCACAGCCTTTTTCCTATAAAAGAAAAAAAATAACACACACCATACTCACTCTCTCTCTCTCTCTCTCTCTCTCTCTCTCTCTCTCTCTCTCTCTCTCTCTCTCTCTCTCTCTCTCTCTCTCTCTCTCTCTCTCATACACACACACACACACACACACACACACACACACACACACACACACACACACACACACACACACACACACACACATATATATATGTGTGTGTATATGTGCGCATGTAACCGTCAACCCATCAATTTCCAAGAGGAAGCCCAAGGAGCTCCGCCAAGCTCCGCCACGCTCGCTGGCCCGAGGAGCCAAAAAGCGAGGGCTCGCAGCCAGCGTGAATGAGCAGTGCAGCTTCGTGAAGAGGAAGCATGCATCCTATTGCAGGAAGAAGCTTTACTGGATGGATATCAAAATGCGATAAAACACAGACAGGAATTTGTGTATATCCATGTGATATGTATATATACATGTATCTATATATATACAAACACACACAAGCACATGCAAACACACACACACACACACACACACACACACACACACACACACACACACACACACACACACACACACACACACACACACACATACACACACACACACACAAACACACACACAAACACACACACACACACACACACACACATATATATATTTTTTTGTTTGTTTAATATAAATATGTATATATATACATATACATATACATATACACATATACACACAGTACACACACACACACAAATTTCTTGTCTTTCCAATTCTAGTTCGTTTTCAGTTTTTTCTTCTGTTCTTAAAAATAAACAAAAAACAAACTTTCCTTCATTTTCTCTTCCACTTCCTCAAAAACCCTCTTTTGTTCGTTCTTCCTCCTTTCTTCTTCCTGTTTCGCCCCTCATTTTGTCTTTGTTTTTTCGCCTCGCTACTCTTCTCTCCGCCCTTATTATCTTTCCTACTTGTCCCCTCCTTTTCTTCTTTCCTACGTCGTTTTCTTCTTCTAGTCTTCCCTTTCCCTTTTTCCTCTTCCATCTTATCCTATCCCCTTTCCTTTTTTCTCCTCTGCGACTTCCTCCTTCTTCTCCTCCTCTTTTTCACCCTCCTTCCACTTTCTCTTCCCTCGCCATCTTCCTCAACGCAACCCCTTTCCCTCTAGCTCAACCGCCTCCTCCACTCCCATTCCCCCTCCCTCTCCACCCCTTCCCCCTTTCCTCCATCCTCTTGTCTCCTCCTCTCTTATTCCCCGCCCCCCTCTTCCTCCTCTCCTTCCCTCCCGTTCCTCTCCCTCTTAATCCCCTCCTCCTCCTCTTCTTCTTCTTCTTCTTCTTCTTCTTCTTCTTCTTCTTCTTCTTCTTCTTCTTCTTCTTCTTCTTCTTCTTCCTTCTCCTCCTCCTCCTCCTCCTCCACCTCCTCCTCCCCTCCTCCTCCTCCTCCTCCTCCTCCTCCCCCTCCTCCTCCTCCTCCTCTTCTTCTTCCTCCTCTTCCTCTTCCTCTTCCTCCTCCCCCCCTCCTCCTCCACCTTCCACTCCCCCAACTTGCATCCCCTTCCCACTTCACCTTACCCTTTCTCCTGAACCCTCTCCCCTTGTCCCTTTCCCTCTCCCTCCCATCTCCTATGCCCTACTCTTTCCCCATTCTCCCTTTCCCCTTCCTATTCCTCTCCATCCCAACACCCCACTCTCTTCTCAACTCCCCTACCTCACCCCCTCCCCTACCCATCCCCCACCCCCCCTTCACCTGCAAGCACCTACGCAAGCAGACACGCCCAAACAACTCACCAAATTATTGTTGAGTCGGTTGATCTCCTTGGCAGCGTCGAGAGGCACTTTGTCCAGTCTGTCCTTTTCCAGCTGGAGAACGCGGGTCCGTAGCTGGCTGATTGTCATCTCTCGCAGCTGGTGTTTGAGGGAGAAGAAAAACAAAAGATAGTGGGGTTAAGGTGCTTAGTTGAAGATTCTATTAATTTCCAAAAAGGTGTTATTTTCTCGCTAAAAAAACAACAGAAACAATAGCACCCATACAGGATATACTCCATACATTATGTTGTCTGCCTACGGGCGCGTGACGATCCAGTTCTTCATAAACCTCAAAAATCAACAAACTACTCAAGCCTCATTACTGCACGTGTTCAAATGATATATGAGTCTCCGAGTGTGTCCCTCATTAACGAGTGTATCCATGCCTAACCAGTGTGTGTCCTTAACGACTATATCCTTGTTTGGCGAGCGTAACAGCCCTTAACGAGTGAGTCTAAGCTAATATGTTTGAGTGCAGTGTGCGTGCGTTCGAGCTTATTCGCCTGTTCTTGCGTGAATTATGAATGATAATTAACGCTTAGTGAAGAGAGAGTTTGTCTCTTTAGTTCTTTCCCTCTATTTTCAATCTATTTTTCTTTTTCGGATTTTTGGCTGAAACTCTCTACGTACTTTTCTATTTCTCCTTTCTCTGTTTATGTAGCCCTCTTTTCTATATCTATCTGGTATATCATTCAAGGAAAAGAAAAAGAGGGAGAGAGTCATTTCAAATCTACTATTATTTTGTCCCATACAAATCCAAATCAAAGAACAATAACACAGACACAGCAAAGCGTATAAAAATACTAAAGTACAACCATATTGCATTCTAAAAGTATTACATGCGAGTTCAGTTCCTCACTCTTAAAATTTATTAGACTCGTTTCCCTCCTCACCTTGAGTTCGTCCACGAGTCGGTCGTTCGAGTTGACTGAGTTGAGTGACTCGAGTGAGTTCAGGGTCGACTCGTGCTCGATGTGGAGGCTCTCCAGGGCGCTGCCGACGCTCCTGTGGGGGGAGGGGGAGGGGGAGATTAATTAGGTTAATTATAACTTGTGGTTTTGTTTTTCGGTTTTGGTGTTTGTTTGTTTGTTTGGATCTGAATGTGGAGATTGAGTTTCTGTTTGTCTGTTTGTGTGTGTGTGTGTGTGTGTGTGTGTGTGTGTGTGTGTGTGTGTGTGTGTGTGTGTGTGTGTGTGTGTGAATGTGTGTGTGTGCATCCCTTCGTGCATGTGTGTATCACTAACGATACTTGAATTATCTACTCCACAAATAGCAGGAGGGAAAAAAAATCAACAAACCGCCCCCCCAAAAGGGGAAACCTTGCTCACCTGACCGAGTGCTCGACCTTGATGGCCCTCTGGTTGAGCTGGTGCTGCAGGGCCTCGTAGCGCTCCTTCATCTCCTGGAAGCACCGGCGGGTCTGCCGATGGGCGCAGCGCTCCAGATGCAGAAGCACCGCCGCCTCGCTCGGCCGTCCTCCACCTCCCCCTTCTTCCCCGCCTCCTCCTCCTTCAGCGTCGCCATCAGGAGGCGAGGGAGGGAGACGTCCTCCTTCGACCATATCTCCGCTCACCACCGTCTGGATGGCCTCGAGGCTGTCCGGCTCATGGCCACTCGTGCCGGAGTCGTGGAACGTGTCTGGGGGCGAGGGCGCGGTTAGGGAAGGCGCTGGCTTGTTGGAAACTAAATGCAGTCATGAGGGTGAGGGTGAGGAGAGTGATGGTGATGATGATGGTGATGATGATGATGATGATACTACAGTACTAATAGTAATAGTAAATGTAATGGCAAATTTTAGTGATACTGTAATCAGATGACGATAGACAGAACTGGGGTCTTGAAACGTTCTCTGTTGTGAGAGAGAGTGAGGGGTGGGAAGGAAGGGAGGGAGGGAGGGAGTGAGGGATTGTGGGAGGGAGGGAGGGAGGGAGGGAGAGAGAGAGAGAGAGAGAGAGAGAGAGAGAGAGAGAGAGAGAGAGAGAGAGAGAGAGAGAGAGATTACAAAAGATTCAATCTTTCCCTATTGGGTGTCTATCAGAACTGCATAATTCTGATAAAAATGTAATTTCCAATAACAAAATATAATAATAAATGCCAGGCAAGGCTAAATGACAACGTAATTAATAACAGTTGCCTGAGATTGATCACAATAACATTTAGCAATACAAGAATATTAGGGAATATAACGGTGCATATACGATGACATAGTGATAATGACTACAGACATACTCGAGATACAGAATATATTCCAGATCATGGATATGCTTTTGGCGATGGAATGACAGAGCGAAACCATATCTTTATCATTATCTTCATTGTTACTGTTATGCCGTCACACCTTGAATGGAGATAATGTGCGGTTACTTAATGATAACAATGATTAATGAACAAAGTCTAATGAATTTTACATTAATAGATACACAAACGGGGTTCCAGTCATACACACACACACACACACACACACACACACACACACACACACACACACACACACACACACACACTCACACGCACATACACACACACACACACACACACACACAATCAACCAAGCAAATACAAGGCGAGACAGAGCACCACTGCCTGACACAACGCAGGTGTACTTCTCGCCGAAGCTACAGTTCAGAGTATTTACATTCAGTTATTCTCACTGGGACGATGTGTTCTTTGAGTGGTGGAGAACACGCAAAGAACAATCCATTTAAAAGCAACCTATGGACAATTATTCAAGGCAAATTAGACTTTTGAGAACAAGAACATTTCGATGAATAAAGGCCATAGCCTAAAAGTAATAACACCCAAAGATAAACAATGAAAGGGAACGTTATAGAAGAACAGGCCCTGGAGAACAGCTGCCCAGTCCTTGGAGAACAGTCTGATAAAACGAACTGTCGAATTAATGATTACAATAAAAGTGATGACAACAACAGTAACATAAAAAGTGACGTAATAATTATAGTAGGAATAGTTAATAATTATGATAGCAATAGCATTACCATTTTTAACATTTTATTTTTACGGCAGTAACAATAATAATGATGAAAAGAAGAAATAAAAATACTAATGATAGTTGCAGTGACAGTAATAAGAATGAAAATGATAACAGTAATGATAATGGTAATGATAATGATGATAATATTAATAACAATAATAATGATAATGATAATAGTAACGATAATAATAATAATGATAATAATAATAATAGTAATAACAATAGTAATACTAACAAAAACAACAATAATAATAATAATATCAATTATGATAACGATAACATAAACAACAATCACAAAAATCAGCAGTGAAATCAGCTGAGCTATCAGCTGTGAGCGCCCGACCTCCACAGACACACTCACGTATAACAATATTTGACTGCCCCCCCCCCACCCCTCACCCCACCCTTTCCTGTTCACCCACTCAAGCTTCACCCTGGCTTCACCCTTTCCATCTCGATGCTTTCCCCTGGTTTTGGGGTTTCCTTTTTTTTTTTTTTTTTTTTTTTTTTTTTAATGATAGATATTTTTATTTTACCTAATTTCATAAATAAGAGAGAGGGAGAGAGGGAGGGAGGGAGGGAGGGAGGGAGATAAAGAGAGAGAGAGAGAGAGAGAGAGAGAGAGAGAGAGAGAGAGAGAGAGAGAGAGAGAGAGAGAGAGAGAGAGAGAGAGAGAGAGAGAGAGAGAGAGGAATAAATATATATATATATATATATATATATATATATATATATATATATATATATAGAGAGAGAGAGAGAGAGAGAGAGAGAGAGAGAGAGAGAGAGAGAGAGAGAGAAAGGAATATATATATATATATATATATATATATATATATATATATATATACATATATATATATATATATATATATATATATATATATATATATAGAGAGAGAGAGAGAGAGAGAGAGAGAGAGAGAGAGAGAGAGAGAGAGAGAGAGAGAGAGAGAGAGAGAGAGAGTGAGAGAGAGAGAGAGAGAGAGAGTGAGAGAGAGAGAGAGAGAGAGAGAGAGAGAGAGAGAGAGAGAGAGAGAGAGAGAGAGAGAGAGAGAGAGAGAGAGAGAGAGTGCGTTGTGAGTGAGTAATCAACCACAGCAATTGGGCCGCTGGATTAGAATGAGTGAACAGTAATGAGTTTATTCAGTGAGTAAGAAAAAGTAAATCGTGAGTTATCGGGAGTGGAGGAGAAGTGTAGCATAGAATCAGTAAAGGGGAAAGTATATGGTAAAAAGAGGAGATGGAAGAGAGAGGAAGAGAAACAGAGGACACTATAAGATCGGTCATAATTGGCTAGATTTCCGCTTGACGTACTCTCCTTCTCTCTCTCTCTCTCTCCCTCTCTCCCTCACTTTCACTTTTACTTTCTCTCTCTAATTCTTATTCACTTCCCTCTTTTTATTACCCGCTTCCTCTGTTCTTAGCTTTGCCCTTCTCTTTTTCTCAATCTTTTGTTGTGTTTCTCCCCACTCATATATATACAAAGACAAACACACACACACACACACACACACACACACACACACACACACGCACACGCACACGCACACACACACGCACACGCACACACACACACACACACACACACACAAACACAACACAAACACCAACACACACACACATACATACGCACACACGCACGCACGCACGCACGCACTCACACACACACATACGCACGCACGCACGCACGCACGCACACACGCACGCACGCACGCACTCACACACACACACACACACACACACACACACACACACACACACAGGCACGCACACACACACATACACACACACACACACACACACACACACACACACACACACACACACACACACACACACACACACACACGCAAACACATAACCAACTCCGCTTCTCCCTCTAACGAGAATGAATCTTGCTAGCATAGATAAATACTACAGCTGACCTTGAAAAAAACGGGTAATCCCATGGAACATTGTGGTTTAATGCTCTTTGATATTAAAGGACGTTTTAATTAATCAAAATCAACACCTTTCGTCCTTGATTAACCTGTGTCTATTCGTTACTGCTTAGTAACTCGCTCATAATAGATGTGATTTAGTAATGACATATAGAATTAAGTTGGTAATATGAGAGAAAGAGAGAAAGAGAGAGAGAGAGAGGGAGAGAGAGAGAGAGAGAGAGAGAGAGAGAGAGAGAGAGAGAGAGAGAGAGAGAGAGAGAGAGAGAGAGAGGGAGAGAGAGAGAGAGAGAGAGAGAGAGAGAGAGAGAGAGAGAGAGAGAGAGAGAGAGAGAGAGAGAGAGAGAGAGAGAGAGAGAGAGAGATGATAGAAGAGAAATAGAGAAAAGGAATGAACATGAAGTAAACCAAAGTAAAAGAGGAGAGAGAGAAAGAAAGAAATACACATACGTACTGGACAATATTTTAAAAGTGACGGCAATCTACACGCAAAAAGTGCGCGTTAAAACTTACCCTCTTCCCAGTCCTCTTCTTTGATAACATGAAGAGATCTATGCTCAGGAATATCTTGATGAATATATAGATACTCAAATTCGAGCGCCATATTATTTTTGTCTTGCTCAAATTTGAGGATGTCCGGAGGTTAGATCTCGGTGTCACATCCAACACATTTTTCCGACTTTAGCGTTTATGATATGGAGCTACGTGGAGCCAAATTTCCATTCTATTTTCTTTATTTTATTTATTTTCTGTATTTCTTTTAAATATCGTTCTTTAGTGTCTTCGTTTTATCAAAATATGTATTTTTTTCCTTTTTCTTTCGTTTTGTTCTCTCGCATATTAACTTCACTTCTGTTCATTAATCCACGAGGTGTTTCGTCTGAGAATAATACAATTCATACCTAATGCAATATATTTATTATTTTATTTTATTTATTTTATTATTTATATCCATTGGACATCGCACACTAGATAAACTACCACACGAATAAGAACAAGTGCGTTATGGGGTGATGAACAAAAGGAAGGATTTGGACAGACAGACAGACAAAAGTAGGAAAGAAAGAGAGACGGAGGATCTGACAGAGAGAGAGAGAGAGAGAGAGAGAGAGAGAGAGAGAGAGAGAGAGAGAGAGAGAGAGAGAGAGAGAGAGAGAGAAAGAATGTAATCAGAAATCTAAAGAAAAAAAGTGATAGTGAAGCGATGGAAACATATGCAGATATAGAGACATTTTTTTATATAAAATTTGTGCTAAGAAGAAAAAAGAGAGAATATATTCTTTTTTAAATCCCCCAAAAGCCCCGACCTTCCCCCCTCCCTCCTCCCCCAGCCCAAAAGGCACGCAGGAGACAGGCGAGAACAGAAGAGCATCGAGGTGCGTCCGAGTGTCAAAATACATGCCAATCAGTCGAGGAAAAGAGAGAGAAAAAAATCCGCTAACCGCTTCCAGAACATTCCTATAGTCGTGGAAGCTGACATATGGCGTCCCTCTAGTTCTTTTCTTGCATTACTCCGCTGTAACATTTTCCCCTTCGTGAAGACAAGATGAGGGAGACGCGTAATGATAACTGCGCACTGAAATCGACTAGGCGTTTGAGCTCTTCCCTCTAACGATATAAATCTTTTTCACACACACACACACACATACACACACAAAGGTGGATCCAGAATCTTTCATAGGGAGCTATATATATATATATAT